TTGGATTAGGATTTCTGTCCTAAACCAACTGGAACTCCCACTGCAGTAGAATCCCTGCTTACTTGTACTGCAAGTTCCACAAAACCTCCACCAGTAGAAGTCGCGGCCGCGCCGCCCACTTGGCTCCCGGCTCCGGTTTCTTTCTTGCTTTGTCGAGTCTCTTTGGATCTTTGTGAAGGCCCGGTCTCCAACGGTCGATCACAATACGAAAAATATAATTTACAAAATTACATAAATCGATTCCTAGATCCAACGAGTGGATGTACATGCCTTCTACTAATTAATTAAACTATCTGGTCAACCCCCGGGCAATTAATACAAACATTCATCCATAATTCCTCGACAATCCCGAGGCTTTAAAAACAAATTTAAAACCATACAACCTACCAACAATTGGTATCAGAGCATGAGGTTAATCCGTTATGTACAAGATCTGGATTAAACTGCTTAATTGTCTATTTGTGCTCAAGCGCAGCCATATATATTGGATTATATGCATAACTTGGTTTTGCAAGAAATAGTTAATCCACTATTATGGCCATCTTTTTATGTGCTCCCAGGATCGAAACCTGGCTCTGATACCAATTGTTGGAACCCACGAGGATCTCGATATGCACAAATCACAGACAAACATTCAACATAAACCTATGCGCAGCGGATCTAAAGGTTTGATGAAGAAAAATTACTGCTTAAAATTTATGTAGATCTGGCTGGCCCGGACAGTTGACCGCAAATCAAATCTTCTCGGAATCGAACAAACTTGACCAATCCAGAAAGCTGACGTCACGGCGAAGTCAACGGCGTTGACCGATCGGAAATCGGAGGTCACACGCTCTCTCACGCGCCGGTGCAAGCCCCAGCAGCAGACTCCTCTCGGCGGCGCGTGTGGGCGCGTGCGGCGGCGTACGGCGGCGATCTCGACGGCGATCTCTTCGTCTCGTCGTCCTGGTCGTCGTGGTATGGTCACTTGCTGATTTTGGTCTCCGGTTTGGATGTATGATTGGAATCTCTATATACCTTAAGATCTTCTGTATTCTCAAACAGCTTTCTAGATCTTGAATCAGTGGAACACAAGAAATAGAAGAACTCCTTGGAAGAGAGAGAAAGAGAGCTGGACGTGTTTATGAGCTGATGGGATTGTTCTCTCTTCTTCCATGAGCCTAATGCTGTATATATAGAGCTACAGTAGGGACCCTAAGGAGAACGGGATAAGGGCTTCTAATATATTAATACTGTGGAGCAACCCCACAATTAATATATT